ATACGTGCACTATTATTTTTTAAATGAGTTTATTATATAAATTAATTGATCAAATTGAGAAATTAATTGCCTTATTTTATTATTTTTTTCCACCAAAATAAGAAAATAATAGTGTAAAAATAATAACCTTATTTTACATTTGATATTTAGTATTTTGTACTATCTGATTTGTATTTTTCACAATAAATATGATTAATTGATGAAAATAAAATGGACAAAATAGCTGGTTAATAAACTACAGAGAAAAATAAGAAATTAGGCTGTAAGGCAGAGAACAAAGATGACAAGAATAAACAACTCGGTAAAAGGAGAAAGAAACAACAAAAAGAAGTGGTATATATTTGTGTGTATATAATATATATATATATATATATATATATATAAATATAAAATCTTCTGGCTTATGAAATCTTCTTTCTTTTGCTTATGAAATATTTAATCATTTAAGTGTGGTAGCCGAATTACTTAAAGAGTCCTACACTAATTGTAACTTCTTTAAATTTTTTTCCGCCTGTAACGGCCCTGAAATTTTAAAGGGAAATGTATATATAAGAAAAATTCTGAGTGCGGAAGTGAAATAAAATAAATTACGATTAACATCCCTTACACAATAAGTAAAACGAATTAAACGTATGAAAGAATAAACTAATTAAAGAAAATATTATGAATGAATAGTATAAGGAAAACTAATAAATTCTTAAGTTTCTACTCGCTGTCTTCTTGCAGAATGGGCTCGGGAACCAAGTCTTCCTGATATGAAATGGTTAAGTAAGGAATTAGCTACATTACCCCAGTAAAGACATCACACTATCTCACTGTCACAGAAGTAAAAGTTGGTAGAAAACAAAAACGACCAATGGAGTATAATTTATAACAAACTCATTTATCAGTAATAAAAACCTTTACTGTCCACTTATTTCGGTGAGATTCATGAAAACAACTTATGAGAAACAATAACATCATAAACATCATAAGATCATGCACACTCTGTAAACATAACACATATCATACTTTTGTATTTCAATCATCAAGCAACAAATTTTCTCTTTTATCAGCCTACTAGTATCCATGGGGATCTATAGGGGTCTCTGCTACACGTGAACCATTCACATTAATAACTTAATTCCAGAGTTGTCCCCATACCCCGTTTGGTATGGACGCCAAAACCATAAACATCAATATCCCGTCTGGTATGAGGGTGAAACGGGCCGTCCCCATACCCCGTCCGGTATGGGCACCAAAACACATAAAGTCTCCATACCCCGTCCGATATGAGAGACCACGTTCCCGGTAGGGTTCCCTATGGACCCATTTCGTCCACCATCTCTTAGGATATCTAGTCAGGCTGTCGACATTATCCATTTATTAATTCACATACCATTTTTCATTTTTTTCTTAATCTCAATTATCCAATCAAACATAAAACACGTAAACCAGTAATGGACACCAAACAAGACAACACAACATCGGGTTCACAATAATTCAAACCATAATAAATGAAATCGTGATTCATGCATACGAAATCATAGAATAAACACATCAGACACCATACTGCATTTCAAAATTGTAAAATAAATCAAA